CCCGTGGCCTTGGTGTTATCAGCACCGCACTCTCCCAAGTGAGCCACAGGCCAGCCCCAAAATCATCCAAGTTCTGAAGTCAAAAGTCCTGGATCCAACACCAGTTGTAGCCACTTTATCTCTGTGAACTGCAACTCTACCATAAGTCCCTGAGAGTTCATAATGAGATTGTGTGTGTGAAACTGCAATGAAAACTACAAATACAGACCATAAAGTATGCATGAGTTTGTTAACATATGACTGTACATGTGTCTGACCAGACTTACATGCCAGTTTCACTGACTAATAAAATGCTTTACCCTTTTGCAGGGGACAGGATCATAGTTTCCCTTACTGAACCCATCCTCCCCGCTCCTCTAATCACTATGTTGGGAGCTAAGTCCTCACCCTGTAACTCATTCTTGCCCTACAACCATTCATCCAGCCTAAATGAACCAAAAGCCAAGAGTTCGGGAGCCTCCTTTACTAAAATCACTTGCCCATCAGAGCTGCCCTGTTTCCCCATGTGATCCAAGTCTGACTGACAATGAAGGTCACGTAGAAACTGAGCAGAGGGCTACAGCCAAGCACTCAATAAGGAGAGCAGAATGCTTTCTCACATGGTTTTCTAGTGGAAGTTTCTCTCAGAGAGAGGCAGAAACCGGGCAGCACATGGGGGAAACGCGAGTGAGAGGTCGGGGAGGGGCTGGCCAGGAACCAGGCAACCCGCCTGCCCAGGTGCCTTTGCTCAAGCTCCCACTGAGCCTGTCCTCACTAAGCCTCACTCACCAAGGATTCACCACAGTGCTGTGTCCCCAGGCAACATAGGAGGCTTTGTCATCCCGGGCAGGAGAGGCTGTGGCCACATACACCTGATTGTCAACAGCCCTGTAGGCAATGGACAGAAAAGAGTTAAATCATACATTATAGACCTGCAACATTTTTCTATCCCAAGTGTACAGATGCTTCTTTTAAAAAACAGGAGAGTACAGGCTGACGTAGATGTGGAAGGAAACCAAAGCCACGGAACCCACTCTTCAAAAAGTACCTTATTGTGTAAGCCAGTGGTTCTCAACTAGGGGCAATTTTGCCCATCAGACATGCCAATGTCTGGAGAACATTTTGATTGTCATGACTGACGGGTTGCTACTGGCATCTAACAGGTAGAGGCCTGGGATGCTGCTAAACATGCTACAGTGCACAGGATAGCCACCCCCCCAACAAAGAGTTATCTAGTCCAAAATGTCAATAATGTCACTGTTGAGAAACCCTGGCATAAGCAAATCTGTAACATAAAAGAGCAGAGTGTCTCTGTTTTAAGCAAGTCAAGGTAGGCAGAATGGAGTGGCTTGCTGGGACGATATACCTTGCAGGGCTCCATGGAACTTCCATACCAATGCAGGCAGTCTTGCCATCTTAAATTAGACAAGAATTTCAAGTGGCAGCCCAGGTCTACCAATCCACCTCACCAGGGAGCCTTCTGGACTCAACCAACAGACCCATGTTAGGTTATCCCAGTACTGCCCAAGCTTTTCTTGCTTTAGACAAGACCATACATTTATTAATATTCATGGCAGCATCATAAACCCTGACCCTATCTTCTACCCTGCGGCCAGCCAAACACCTTTTTCCCTTCCAATAAAAATTACCGTCATTTCCAGAAGTGAGAACAGTGGCTACCTCTGGGCAGAGAGAGGAGGACTGATTGGGAAGAGGTACAAAAGGGAGCATTCTAGGGGTCTGGAAATGTNCCATCTTAAATTAGACAAGAATTTCAAGTGGCAGCCCAGGTCTACCAATCCACCTCACCAGGGAGCCTTCTGGACTCAACCAACAGACCCATGTTAGGTTATCCCAGTACTGCCCAAGCTTTTCTTGCTTTAGACAAGACCATACATTTATTAATATTCATGGCAGCATCATAAACCCTGACCCTATCTTCTACCCTGCGGCCAGCCAAACACCTTTTTCCCTTCCAATAAAAATTACCGTCATTTCCAGAAGTGAGAACAGTGGCTACCTCTGGGCAGAGAGAGGAGGACTGATTGGGAAGAGGTACAAAAGGGAGCATTCTAGGGGTCTGGAAATGTCTATATGTTGACTTTGGTGGGAGGTCAGTACATATATAAAAATTCACTGACCTGTATGTTTAAAATCAGTGTGCTTTTCCATAACTATATTATAGCTCAATTTAAAAAAAAATTTTTTTTTTCCTTTTTGTCTTTTTTCGTGTCCGGCAACGGATCGCTACCCTCAGTGTCACGCCCGTACCGGACCGGGACCAGCAACGGGATCACAACCCTTGGTGTTGCTCCCGCACCTC